TTAATAATACCATTTGGCCCTCAATTATCATGACTTCTGCGTCCACTTATTTGGCAGGGAATACCGTTCCCGTCATTCGGCACAATGATCTCCGTTTGGAACCAAACGAATATGTCTTCGCCGTCTCCCAACTCTATCTGAATCCCGAGCAGTCCATCAAACATCGATTGAAGGCATGGTTTTGTGGTTCGCAAGACACGAACAGAGAGAGACGATCCTATACTGCTATTTAAGGATCACTTTGTCAACCAAAGCAAATCAAATTTCTCATAAAGAATATGTGCATTAAATGACATTCAATTATGTCTACTTAATGTGACCAGCATTCAAATGCGGCAATCATTTGAATTAACAAGTTTATTTGTAATAATTTAATCAGATGTTAACTAAATTCTTATTAATGCTGAATGTTAATGTTAAATCTTACTTGAAAAGTTTGTAACATTCAAAATATAATGTGAAATTGAAATACTATAGTTTGTTTGATTCCTAAATATAGTAAAAGTTGATTATTTTACTAAAATAGAGTTTATGGTACTATAAGCATATACCTGTTATCTGTAAGCATTCTCTGCGATATGACAATCTTTATTAAATAAAATGTTTAACTTAAAGAAAGTTTAAACCAAATATATTGCAAATGATACATTTAAATAAATACAATTTATAATCAGTGATTGTTTATTTGACTTTCGATTAATATTTTATTAATCATTGGATTATAAAAAGTTGAGCATTTAATCAAATTTTAATCTGTGAACTTGTTATTATACTTTTGTATTTATTACTAATAATTTATTACTAAAAATTAATATTATTAGTAATAAATGATTAGTACCGGTAATTTTAAAAATTCCACTGCATATCCCAGACTGTTTGCCACTACAATATTACTTTCTTTATACATTGTGTATTGAAATATCACTGGGAAGACAATGCAGTAAAATGTGTGTCTTTCAAAAACTTTCAAACATTTTTACTTTAAATAGAAGTATTTCTTATAAAATAATTATAATCAAATTAAATTAAATATTATTTTTATTTTTATTATACAGAAGAGTTCACAGTTTGGGACAAATCAGAGATCAAAACACTGCTGATCCAGAAGACAAGGGAAGAAGACTTTGAAACTAAGTCTCAATTCAAGTCGAATAGTATTCACGGAATGAAAGGAAAAGATAAAATTGATTTGAATGTCGTTGAAGTACTTAAGAAATGCGATGAGAGTGCAAAAGACAAACCCATTTGCGATCTAATGTTTCCACACGAAGACGAGAGCAAATGGTTTTTACCGAAATGTAACCGAATTAATGCCGAAAAACTGCTTAAAGGCCGAATAAGAAATGCGATGAGAGTGCAAAAGACAAACCCATTTGCGATCTAATGTTTCCACACGAAGACGAGAGCAAATGGTTTTTACCGAAATGTAACCGAATTAATGCCGAAAAACTGCTTAAAGGCCGAAGAGATGGCACTTTTCTGGTCAGAAGTAGCGCTCAATTGGACGACAAATATGTGTTAAGTATTGTAATCAGAGGTCATATCAAACACATTGTCATTCAGAAGGACGAGAGCGGGTATTGCATCTATAGTGGATCCACTCATCCCACACTCTTCAGTCTGATTATGTATTACGCGCAGCCATTTGACCACCAAATGGACACAACTGTCAACTCGTGCCAAAGTCTTCACTTCCCTGTCTTTCAGTGAGAATACTTTCAACAATTTTTAGTTTTACTAATTTTAGCCTATTTTTGTATGTTTGAGATAATAATGACATAATTATACTGCAATTATAATCTACTAGTTACTCCTTATTATATTAATATTGAATATTAAAGCATTTTTGAAAACATACACATTAATTGACAATTGATTTAATGGTAATCTCTGAAACCCGATGCTTTTTAAAAAATAGTTACCGGTAGCTGATCAATGCCATTCGTGGCTAGATTTATAGTTAAAACACCAAAAATAATCCTTAATTTTATATTGAATTAAAAAATGTTAACTTTATTTAGAAAATAAGTTACTTGTTTACAACAGATTTGGTAAAATTAGTAAAATATAACATATTTTGAATAAAATATTAAAAATGATTCAAAATATAATAATTTGTTGAGATCACTATTTTATGATTACTTATTGCTTAAGAGTCACCAATGGAAGAGTCCGGTAACTGTTCCGTCTCTTCGGAATCTGAATTAAATGAAGTATTCTTGGAATCGGTTTCACTCTCTCGTGTCGATACTTCGCCCGTAAGACCTGATTCCGACTCTTTCTCTTCGTCTTTATTCTCAACAATATCATCATTTGATTCAATTTTTTGAGTCGTTATTTCAGGGCTCGATATGCGTCGAGTGATTTGAGTATTGGCTCTAATCCTATGGTAATTATCATTGTTGTTGGCGTTATGGTTATGGTTATGGTTTGGGTTATTGTTATAATTAATTCGCAGATAATTAGCGAACGCGAAGAAAGTAATCAAATATAAAAACGAGGCAATGGTTGTAATGCCCACAAAACCGGTGGTAATCCTATAGTTATACATATAATATCGAAATCCAGTTAACGTTGCGCTCACTTTGAGAACAGTTGGCGGATATATCTGCACATCTCTGGCCTCGAACTCAATGACCGCCTCATGAATTGGTCCCACTTTTGGATGACTGCCTTCAGTGTAGTCGTCCATCAGATTAACAGTGATTTGTTGGTTCTCTTCGGCCAATCCCATGACAAAGAGCGGCCAATAGAGGAGAGTAACGATAAACCGGAGAGGAGTGCTCTTATAGCGAAGACCCGTAGGTTTGGCCACATCTGCGATCACCCTCTGCTTCTGGTCGAGCAGTTTGAGGCGAACCATGAAGAGGCCCTGAGACCAGTTCACGTCCGACTCCGGCAACTGGAGGTCAATACTGAACCGATAGATCTGTCCCCTCAAGAAGTCCGAAGTCCTGCCCTGTCTTAAGGCCACTCTAGCCGTGGGAACGTTGCAGACGCTGTCCCTCACAGTCCGGTCACACGTCGAGTGGTATTGGATGAACACATCCCTTGTGGTCGACACCAGAGGAATGTAATTGTAATAAAGCATTAGATATATGAATACTGAGGTCCAGATGATGGCCAAAGAGCTGATCCAGAATTGAAATGCGATAACAATGGCGCGAATGGCGACACTCATGGCATTGTTGCGACGGATGGTGTCCACAGTGGTGTTGATGTGTCCGTTAAGCGCTTCCAATGGATTCAGATCCATGTGNCAGATGATGGCCAAAGAGCTGATCCAGAATTGAAATGCGATAACAATGGCGCGAATGGCGACACTCATGGCATTGTTGCGACGGATGGTGTCCACAGTGGTGTTGATGTGTCCGTTAAGCGCTTCCAATGGATTCAGATCCATGTGATCGTCGATTGTGTCCACGATTTATAAGAAATAATGAATACTTTGAAACAATCACTGAATGTATGTTTTGATCATTTGATGGCATTTAAGGAAAAAAATTTTTTAAACTCTCGTTTCGTGTGAAAGTCAAAGACATTTGAAATAATGTTGAGTCAGTTGTCGTGACAACGCATTCAACCTCTCTGTCAACCAGTCATTCAATTGAATCCAAAGTTTTCCTAAACGAAAGATTCACTGCACGGATATCACTGACAATATGATCGACAAAATGTAATTCACATTGTATTCAATCGTATTTACTACTAATTGTCAAGTTTATCAGTTTGTATACTAATAATCACTCAATAGTAGTGTTTGAATGCATGGATACTGTATATATGAGTACATCCAGTCATCTCCGGAGTCGAGTCCGGACTAACACTTCCGATGAACTGCACTTCAAATGATCAGAATTTTAGTGCTAAATGTAAAACACATATTAATAGTATTCGTAAAATCAAGTTTAATCAATTTCCAGATTTTAACAGATTTGTATATTTTATAAGTTTGTTATCACAAAAAAAGGAAAGTATTACACATTTGGTTAATGTTAGCGAATGATTGGCAAAGATTATGTGAAAATAGTAAAGATTCATAAGGACTTAGAAACTGTCAAAATTGAAGTATAGGATTGAGATCTCTTATAATTAGTTTCTTATTCCTCTAGTTTCATATTTTACGGTAACCTTAACTTAGAAATAAAAATTCACAAATAAACTGCTAATAGAGAAATATAAGCCAAAATATAACAATAAATTATATACTTAATGAGATTTTATTTGACAACAGAGTGTTTGTTGCGAAGACTTGGGAATTCAAAGCCATTGTGGTTTAGAAGAATAGCCAAATTTGTTGGCATTGAACCAAATATAGTTGATTCCTCTAACAAAACTCACTTTGAATGCTATATTTGTGGGCAAATCCTTCATCTGTAGGACACGATTCTTGACTACAGTTTTGATAAAAATTCTTGTATTGATGGCTTCGAAGTGGAACTTTTGTTGGGGAATTTTCTTTGCCTTCTCGATGAACGCCAATAAAGACAACTTTGAGATGCGATGGCATCGGTTGACATTTAATTTTCTCAACTGATGGCAATTCTTGGCCACGAAATCCACGACATCGTCGGTGACACTCATCTCAAACAGAAATAATTTCTTGAGACGAGTCAGTCCAGTGATGGCAGTGATGACTGCGCTGTCACTTATGGCTCTGTTTCCACTGATTTCCAGAGTTTCCAAAAGTGGTGAATATTTGGGGATCAAAGTGATTGAGAAGTCAGTGACAGTTGTCTCGGTTCTCATGTCAATGACTAAATGGCGGAGAAGATGACAGCTTTGGATAATCTGTAGTAAAGACAAGTCATCCAAAACACAAACCTTTCTAATCGTCAAACTCACCAATTGTTTGAGTCTTGCAATTGATGAGAAGCCATGGGTTGAAAAGGGACTCATATGGAACTCCCTTTCAGTGCACTTCCCATAACTCATGTCAAGACATTGTAATTCTTGGAATTTATTACAAATATCTGTCAGCGACTGGTCACTCGACGGGAAGTCGAAATTGTTTGCCACCAAATGCTTGAGTTTCTGACATTGGGATGAGACCAGTGTTGAAATGGTCGACTCTTTTAGGCTCCAACAGTAAGATATGTTGAGGTATTCAAGGCTTTGCGGCAAAAGGGAAAGACATTCTCCTGTGATGAGAGTCCCGCAGATATTGAGTGCAACCAAATTGAGTTTTGATCGCAAGACTCTTGAAACAAAACTTTCCGTAATGTCTGAAACACATGAGACGTTCAAGTATTTCAAACAATCAAAATGAGTTTGAAAGTAACGGCCCACTTGTGGTGTGAATCCTGTACTGCTGTCCAGATTGAGTCTCTCGAGTTTGAGACAATTGGTGGCCAAGAGGTCTATTGCTTTGGAGTTAATTGTGAAGCACTCCATATCCAGACTCTTGAGGTTCGGACTTTTCCTGACGATGTGTGACACGAGTTGTGTGACAGAANTGCTGTCCAGATTGAGTCTCTCGAGTTTGAGACAATTGGTGGCCAAGAGGTCTATTGCTTTGGAGTTAATTGTGAAGCACTCCATATCCAGACTCTTGAGGTTCGGACTTTTCCTGACGATGTGTGACACGAGTTGTGTGACAGAACTGAAAGCAACTCTTTCATAGTGAGTGGGACGGGTTGTCAGTTCATACCAGCGGTCCTGATGCCAATCGGACAGATCTTTGGTGTCGTCCACAAAACTCAATGATTTGCGGACCCGTAGTATCCATTGAACCAAACAGTTCCAGCGCTTACAGACAGCCATTGCAGTGAACTGTTGTCTTAAATCTAAATACGAAAATATGATGAGAAGTTCATCGTCTTTGAGGTGATTGAAAGTGACCGACTTGTGGTTGACTGTGGTATTAACTTGGTGCTTCTTCCTCTTGGCGTTCATTTTTGACCTCATTTTTGGTCTATTGCTTTAACTTTTAAGACTTTGTATTTATTCAAATAGTTTATTTATATTGTTTTAAAAATTTGTTAAAATAAAAATTATTTTAAAATTGTGCTCATCTTACAATTATTAAATTACAAGATTATTACTACAAGATTAGTACAGTATTATGGAGAATTCGTGTTTTGATGATAGTTAAATCTCTACATTTTATCTACAACAGTATAATTTAAATATTTTAATTACTGTTAATAACATTTACTTTAAAATTATTATTGTTATCAATTTAATCGATATTAAGAAAGTTTAATTAAGCAGTCGATAGTGTACTTGGTGGTTAATGTAGTGCTTTCTATACTTATAAATAGTAATTCCTGTAATGAATAACATTATAAGACTCATTGAAATGACCAGAATTGCTAATTGTGAGACAGTTAGCTTTTGATTAGGAGTTTGGCTTTTAATTGTAGAATCCGGTGTCACATCCATTATATAATAATTCTTTGTTGTCTTTAAATCATTAATTGTCACATTTGTTTCGTATAATAGGTAATCATTAATGGTTATAGTATTTTTATAATTTATCCTTTTTGTTGTCATTTCTGAAGCATTGCTTAAAGGAATATCCGTATGTGTTGTCAATTCTCCCGTTTTATTTGAATCCAATTCAATTAAATCGATATTTTGTACTAAATATTCGTCATCGATATCATTAAGAAGTGTTGTAGTATTGGGACAGTCTTTCTCATCGCTACCAAGTGGACAGTTATTATATCCGTCGCACTCAAAGCCATTATAAATACAGGGCTGTTGTCCTCCATCACACCTAATTGTATTAGTCTTCGGACACGTCTTATTCCATATGCCTGGATGGGATGAATATTAAAATATATTTTTGAAAGTATGTTTAAAAACATAATTTTAATTGTATTTACCGTTAAAGGCAGTGATTATTAATTCAAAATTGGAAGTACTATTATTCCCGGTATTGAATTCAACACTCAATTCTTTGCTTAAAAACGTCAAGTGTTTAGTGTCATTATTTTGGCACCATTTGAGTTTGTCATCAAATTTGATATAATCTTCACAGTTATTGCTCGAAAGCGATACATATTTAGCAATTGCGACAAATCCCACAATTTGTTGGCCTATTATTTTGACCAAACATTTGTGATTAGACCGTATGTTGTCATCTGATGGGC